TTTGCCCATCCCTCTCTTACAATCAATTGGGTGATGTTTTCACTCCCAAAAAACACTGACCCATATTCTCTATTGGTCGTATTATTTTTACAAAAACTCAATTATATCGTGACCCAGTAATCCAAATTAGATAATTTCGATACCATTCGATTCGTTTCGAAGAGACAAATCGAATGGCACCAAAATAATCCAATTCGAATCACTGGATCTGAATCTTTTTTTTATCTTCCCAAGTATAGCCAACAAAATTTTTCCGATCACGTGTAATCGATAAAATTGCTTAAGTTCGTTTATGTTAGGGTTAGCGTCTAAATTAAAGTTGGATATTAGTGGGGTATAGTAAAATTACTCGAGGTTTTTTTGTTAATGCATGAAGAATTGTTTCTTGAGATAAAGGCAATTTTTTCTAAACTGACGTTTGTTTTGAAATTTTTTGATAGCGTGACGTTACACCAAATCAAGATTCTTTATTGGTTAATTTTCGTAGATCATCACGTGATCGAGAAATTTTGTTGGCGATCCTCGGGGTAGTTTCTTTTTTGCGAATATCGGTACTAACGCTAAATTCTGATTACTGGGCGATATAATTGAGTTTTTGTAAAAACAAATACGACCAATTACGGCCAGTGTTGGCCTATGACCTGTTATGACCTATTGGCCAACTATAGATTATGACCTTATGACCTGTTATGACTATGACCACCTTGATCATATAAAGTTGAATATGACCCAAAATGGCCAACACTGATTACGGCGCTCACCTCTGTTAAATACGAGGTGTCTACTGCGGTTAGTATCATGCATAATGATACCGATATTTTTTTTTAATACGTATATTTTTTTTGTCAAGACAATTCCAAATTAAGGAAGATCCGTCGGTAAATTTTAACGTGCTTCTACCAATGCAGTTTTAACACGAATTTCCTCATGCATCCAAGAATTCCATAAATAGATAAACTCATTTAGAGCACAAAAAAAATCTTTCATCTCAATTTCATTTATTCATCAATTCTTTAGAATAATATCAATTTTATATAAATGACGACCGTACCGAAAGCTATCGTTAAATGTGTACTTTCCGGAGATACGCTAATTATTCGTGGTAAACCTACCGGAAACCAACCTCCACGAGAAAAGCAAATTAGTCTGGCTTATATCCAGGCCCCGAGGATGGGAAGCCAGAAAAAAGATGATGAAGTAAGAAGCTATTTAAGTTCAGGTTTATCCAACCGAATTGATACTAAAGATGAAATATCATTTGTATCCAAAAGTAAAATTATATATAAAATGCATCATTGTTTTATTTAGCCTTTTGCATTCGAATCTCGGGAATTTCTTCGCTGTCAGATCGTGGGTAAAGAAATTACATTTCGCATAGACTATACTGTTCCTACTACCAATAGAGAATATGGGTCAGTGTTTTTTGGGAGTGAAAACATCACCCAATTGATTGTAAGAGAGGGATGGGCAAA